ATTCTTTGGTTGATATTGTCTCTTACATTGCCTTTATTTTTTGAAAATTGTGTGCGGGATTTTTTTTTTTAACTGTTCAATGATGTTTTGCCATGTGATATAATGTAAAGAAAGATGTAAAAGATGATATATATGTAACATGATTGAGGTAAAATAGTAAAATACATTAGAAGATATTTTGGTGTGCACTGCTTATAATTTCAGTTATTGAAATCAGTGACAAAAGGATTGTGAGATTGTTTATAAGGAGGTAAAAAAGTAGGAAACTGCTAAAAGTACATTAAAGTGTACATCGGGATGTCCATAATGGACACCCGACACCTCCTCATTGGAGGGAGTGCTGGTGGGCAAAAAAGTATGTTGGTACACATTTAGCCTCAATTTGATGTAGATTATTAATATATTAATTTTTTAGTAAATTTTGATAAAAATTAATGAATTACATTGTTAAAAAGTTGTGAACTTCACAAAATGTGTGTAATTTGTTTACTTTAATTTGAAAATTTTATCAAATTTTAATGTTCACCAAACATGCTATTGTTTGAGCCTCATTATTCAAAAATTCATTTTCGATCCTACATTCTTTTAATAAAATATTTTGTACGTAAACTTATTTTTTTTATTTTTTAACTGCACATTTATTACAAAAATCATTTTTAACATAAAAAATAAAATGGAGATCAACCAAGATCTTGACACATGCAGTTATACACATGTTTGAATACACACCGAACTTTAAGTATTGTCATTTTTTATTCACCGTACTTTAAATTGCACTCCATTACTCGTTGAACGTCATGAAGTTGCACTCTGTTAGTGCAATTCCCGCCTCAGCTAAGCCGAAATGAAAGAGTGAAATCGACCCTATTCCCCCAAAAGTCCATATCGTTTATAAACCCTACCCCCAAATCGATTTTGTCCCATAATCCAAGAACCGCACAAGGAATGCGAGGAGAAAGAAGTCGAGGAAATTCCTTGGCCTGTAAAGGGCTGTACAGGAAAAATCAAACTGTAATGGCGATCGAAGATTTTGAAGCAAATGACATTGAAATGCAGAAAAAACGAGGCTAATAAAATGACTGTATCAACAGTAGCCATTAGTGCATCTACTCCAAAATATGTAAACCAGACAAGGATGAGAGAGAAAAGAAGAAAATGAATGAAGAGTAGAGAGAGAATGCAGGCTATTTTTTATGGCCTTTTTATTTGTGGTTGTATCCTAAATTTCTGAAGGAAAGTTGATTTGTTACAGTATGATGCAGACTTTGGCAAATTGGTTTGTGCTTTCTGAAAGTGCCATTTTCGAATTTTAGATGGCTGACTTTGGCAAATCTCTTGAAGAAAAGATTTTGGAACTCGTATATTTCAACCATTTCATTTGTTGCTTATTCTTTCTGAACTGATATTTTTCAATTTATCAGAACCCAAATACACAACTTTTACATCAGATTTATCAGAAAGTGTGGAGTAATGCAGAGAAAGTTATCAGAAACTTTTACACAACTGAATCCATTGCATTTCTTGAGGTAAATTCTCAAAATTGTGTGCCTTTGGTAGGCGTTCATGACCAAGAGAATTTATTGTACTCTTTTTATCCAACAGAAGTTATACATAACCCAAAAAGACATGAACTAGAGTTCAGTGTTTAGATTGACCAATCATGGGAATCGAATTGGACGCCTGAAAGCAGTTACATATACCACATTTCTTGTGAGAGCACATTAGATGATATGTGGATGAGATCTGAAATAACATCAACAACATTCATCCTCTGTGCAACATTTTCAGAATCAATGCGTTAGTACTTCTTGCAGGCACCAACTGTCTGAGCATCGTCCAAATCAATAATTGCATCACATTTGGAATAAAGATGACATCTAACATGTGAAACAAGCCTAGCAAGTGAATGATAAACATACTTGGAACAATATTCTGCAACAACTGCTTTCACTGCCACATCTCTCTCACAGCACTTCCAGAAAATTCACGGACAAAATAACAAAATTCAAATGAAAACATATCCAATATAACACACAATTTCAGAACAGTGGTGCTGGTATAAATGAAGATAAAAGCAGTCAATTAAAGCATCTTCAGAAACAAACTAATTGTATGGCACGACAAATAATGAAGGTTAGCCATCCTGTAAATACGAAGTGTAAAATGGAGATTATGCAACTGAAGATCCATCAAAGACATCCATTTCAAACCAGCAAAACCCTAAAGCTATATTTAACCGGACACTAAATAAATGACCAAACCAGCAGACATCGAAGGTCACCATCAGCCTGTTAGTTATACCACAAATCCAGTGTCCACATCAAAAATAAAAAACAACCTAAATATTAGCATCTAAACTACACTTTAAGGTTCAGGCAGACTTCAAAAATAGGTGTACAACAGGCTTCAATGTGCTGATGTCCAAGCAACTTTCCTAGCATCTGCTCTTGAGCTGGAAGGCTCATTGGCAGTCGTAGGTGTCAATTCATCATCCATTTCTTCAAGATCGATTTGCTCAGTTACAACTTGTGAGTAAGACAATGGTCCACCTTGATTACCATCAACAATAGGGACGGAAACTGCTGGCCCATCACTCATACCAACTCTCCTAGCATCTTCAAATGCTGAAAGTCATAATTTTTAATGAGTCTCTGCTAGCACATCAAATTTAAACTAATGCTCAAAACACAAAATAAAGTAAAGAAATAAATGCAGCTACCAAATTAAATACCA